TCAGTTTTCATTCATGAATTTCATTATCAAATCTAAGATTTCATTGGGTAGAAATGGAGGTTTTGGGTAGAATTTAGGAATTTTATAAAATTGAGATTTAGACCTCAAATTGAGGTCGGATTTTGAAAAATATCACATAATTGGACTGGGGGATGAATAGGTAATCGAAATTTGGTCTTGATTTCGGATTTCGACCATGTGGGCCTGGGTTGACTTTTTGTTGACTTTTTCAATTATGTTAAAGATCGAACGTTTTTCGTACATGGGGAGTTTTTAAAGATTTTTTGATGTGTGTGAACTATAATTGACTAGATCCGGGATGTTTGGGGGCTTATTCTAAAGGGAAAGTCATGTGGGGTTGTTGATCTTGTTCCGGAAAGAGGTAAGTGTCGTGGTTAATCTTGATTTCAGGGAATTAGGACTTGATTGGTCTATTTTCTATGTGATTTATGTGTGGGGATGGCGTATATATAAGGTGACGGATGTATATGCATTGTCATAGCTTTTGAGCATACAAGGTGTATTACTTTATTTACGTCTTTAATTACGCCATGTGTTTACTTATTTCATGTTATTACTTGTTATGTGCTATACATATTTCACTTGATATGTATGTCCTTAATTGTTACATGTCTTTAATTGTTATGTTTTTTTAAGCTTTTTTCATGCTTTTAGCTATTATACGATTTTATTTATTACGTGCTCTTACATGATATTAGATAGATGCTTTTACCTGTCTTATGCTTCTACTTGTATTATTCCCTTACTTGTTTTATATTTCACTCTACTATGTTATATCAGATTGCCTTAGAGAATTATGCGTCTTAGTTTCCTTTTATGTTATGTTGTGAGATTCATCGTATTTGGTTCTTACTGATATATTGGATCCGGTTGCCTGCCGTAACAATATTATTATATATTGGATCGGGTTATACACTACAACAATATTTATATATATTGGATTGGGTTGCGCGCCACAACAGTATTATTAAATATATATTGGATCGAGTTGCACGTTATAACAGTATTATTATATATTGGATCGGGTTGCATGCCGCAACAGTATTACTATATATTGGATCGGATTTCGCGCCGCAACGGTATTGATATTGATATTGATATTTGGGATCAGGATGCGCGCCATAACAGGAAGGATGTTATGTAATTGTTCTTAGTTGTTATGCTCCATGGACCGTGTTGAGTTACGAGGTTGTGATGTTATTCTGGGGCCCTCTATTATCTACTTCTTTTATTCCGTTCGTTATGTAGTTATATGTTTCTCTACACTGTTATTGTTTCTCTGCTTATTGCTTGTATAGGTTTATAATGAGTATCTTGTTATAGCCCCGTCACTACCTCGTCGAGGTTAGGCTCGATACTTACTGAGTACTGGATAAGTTGTACTCATACTCTACTTCTACACTTCTTATGCAGATTCTAGTGTTAGTCCCATCAACATTCAGAGTTAATTGCTCGGACCTATTCCAGGAGACTTGAGATAGTGCTGCTTGGCGTTTGCAGACCCTGGAGTCCCTTCCTATCTTTATCTATTATATATTGTACCAGACGGTATTGTACCTTCCATTTCAGACTTGTATTTAGTATTAATAGTGGCTCATGTACTTGTGACAGCATATTCTAGGGTCTTAGACGGTGATGGTTGTACATCTATTATGTGTTTATGCTATTTCACCCCTTTTATTATTTTAAAGTATGTTAGTTGTTAAACTGCTTTTGTTGTTGTGCTAATGTTGGCTTTCCTAGCAAGCAGATATTAGTCGTTGTCACGGTCCCGTAGTCGGGATTTTGGGTCGTGACATGCCACCGGATTTAGGAGCTCTAAGCTTGAAGATGCTAATACTCGCTAAATTTGAAAGGATTCTTCCATGCATCCACTGGATCTTCGAGATCCTTGCATGGTTGGCTAAATAAATTATCTCTAAGATCTATGGTGTGACGAAGTGAGGGAAAAAAGAGAGGTGATGAGAGACGGGAGATCATGGGGAAAGGAGGAGAGAAGAGGGAGGTCAGCGGCAAACCATCGGTAGTTGTTAAGATTCGTTGGTTAGAGGCGAGAGAAGAGAGGGGATGGGGGGGGGG